GTTTTTTTTTTTTTTTTTTTTAAATCTCAATGATGGTAACAGAGGAAACTTTGCGTTTTATTAAAAACAGAGCAGAAAGCAAAAGTCTCTTCCAGGCCTGGTGGAATGGACTGACGCGGTCTGGGGAGCACTCCTCCTGCTCTTCACTGGGGGAAACAGAGAAATCAGTTTAATCTCTTTTTTTTCCCCTCCAGTGACTTGTGACGCCAGGCAGGAGAAGCGAGTCGTCAAAGAAAACTCACCGGGCAGATCGGCTGGCGGAAGTCAGCTGCCGGTGGGGAGGCGCCCTCTGCGGGGATGAGGTCATCGCCACCTTTGACTCGGTGATCCCAGATAACCGACCAGGCTTTTCCAGGCTCAGGTGCCTGGGGACTTCCTCCTTCTCCACCTGGTCCCCGGTGCCTGAACCCAAAGGACAGAATTCCTCGCATGCTCCTTGGATAGAAAAAGAGGAACTAGTAGTGTAAACCAAGCGACCAACCCACTAGACCCCAAACCTGCTCACCAGTAGCCCGTTTCTTGGTCGTGGGTCGGGTGTACACTCCGAAAGGGATGCTAGTAAGTTCATGGAAAGGCTCGAGAGTCGGAAAAGGTGATTAAAGACAGCCTGTGTTTTACACTGATATTAATCCCAAATGAATATTGACTCAGGTGGCAAAAGTGGACCGACAGGGTGCCACAAGTGAGGGGCGGTTGGCATCCTCTACCTTTCTTTCTCTGCTGCGAGGGGGGTCCACACCTGCTGCCTGGTCCCACTCCTCCAGCCCTGGGAACGTGGCCGCCCAGCACTGTACTGAGTATGCGCTCTGAATCGGTCACCTTAGCCCTGTGTAGAGGCTCACCTGTGATCCCAGCTGCTGCGAGGCAGGGGCAGGAGGATCACTTGAGCCGGGAGGTTAGGCCAACCTGGGCAACACAGTCAGACCCCTGTCAAAAAAAAAAAAAAAAAAAAAGATATCACTAAGTGGGCGACCTACCCCTGCCTTTCCTCCCTCTGATCTCTGCAGGGTCCTGCCATCTGCTTTTCTGGCCCTCCCTGAGGACCCTTCTTTTCCTTTGAGGGTGGTCATAAGCCTCTTCCAAGTCTTGATCTCCCATCATCCATTATTATCCCAAACCAATTGCCTTTCGCTCCAACCTGGATGGTCCTGCTTTGGTGGGGCTTGAAGCCTACAACTGGTGAGGGAGGTTTTTAAAGCACAACAATAAAAACTTACAAACAAATGCTAGGTATCTGTCCTTGGAAGGGCCCAGGGAAAATGAGGGACATGGAAACGGAAAGGTCAAAGCAAATTCACTCCTTATTTTCCCACTGCCAGGGACTCTTGCTTCATATTCTATTAGTTCTAAAGTCCGAACTCAGTATATAAAGTGTACTCATCTTTCTGTCAGAACTGATCCTCTTCCCTCCCTGCTTTACCTAAGTGTGCTTTTGGGTTTTATGTCTTGACTTGTTTCTGCGATTTGAACTCTGGGCCTTACTCTCTACTACTGAGCTATGCCAACCTAAAAGCTGGTTTTTAAAGGTCAAATGCCAGCTTTTCGTTTGGGGTCTCTTTCTCTCTCTCAATTCCTTATATCCATGCAGTTGCCAAGTTTGCAGTTCTTTCCCAAGTGATATCTGTTAGTCTAAGCTTTATATCCACTGTCACCACACTCCCCCAATTAGAGGAAGGGGGAACTGAGGTGTTTTGGCTGTTGGCCATGTTTCAGGCATCTTGAGTCTTACAATCCTGGAAACCCCACTTCCTGTATTTTTTTAGCCTAGGAAAGTTAAATTGGATGTCTGCATCCACTACCTCAGTGGTGTTCTTTCCCCTTCCCTTCTCTCCTCCCTAAATCCATCTTGAAACTGCTGTCAGATTACTCTTTTGTAATCTCATCACATGACCTACATGTTTACATCACAACATGTTCTATAGTTCAAATGGCACCTTCAGGAAAAAGGCGGCATTCTTCAGGCTGATGGTAGTGTTCTGCCTTCATCCCCCACAATCTGGTGGGTCCCCTTTTACACAAGCAGCATGGCATGCTGCCCCAGAATGTGTCCTGCTTGGTTGGACTCCTTTTTTGTATTATACACATTCAGAGAACAAAAGGTACTTGAATGAAGCAAACATAAGCACAACTCTCAAGAGTTCTTTTTTTAAATTATTTTTTTAATTTTTAAAAAATTGAGACAGATTCCTTGCCATGTTGCAGAGATTGGTCTCCAATTTATAATTCTCCTGCCTCAGCCACCAGAGCTGCTGGGATCACAGGTGTGCACCACCACACCAGGCTAGAGTTCATATCTTGATGCGTTAGTTCTAAGGCTGCAAATCTAGAAAACAATTTATTCTTCATCTACTCATCTGCTGATTGTTAACTGTACCCTCCTCTCACCTAAGTTTGCACCTGCCAGAAAAGAGCTTCTGTCCATTCACATCATTCACATCACAAAAATGTGCCAAACTGCCATGCGTGGTGGCGCCCACCTGTGATCCCAGCAGCTCGAGAGGTTGAGACAGGCAGACTGTGAGTTCAAAACCAGCTCAGCAATGGTGAGGCGCTAAGCAACTCAGTGAGATCCTGTCTCTAAATGAAATTCAGAAATAGGGCTGGGGATGTGGCTCAGTGGTCAAGTGCCCCTGAGTTCAATCCCTGGTACCAAAATAATAATAAAAAAAATAAAGTGCCAACCAGCCTGAAGGCCAGAAGGCTCCTGAACGTGAGCCTGCCGGAGGCTGAGTGTGGTCGTGGGATTTACTTCCTGGCTTGGTGGTGGCTGCTGTTGCCAGTGCTCTTGAGCAGAGGGCCGTGTGGCAGCCCTCACTTTCCCAGGCAGGTCAAGCCTCTCCAAGTGTGTGTACTGGTTATGAGCGTGGCCCAGGCAACGCGGGCCTGCAGCATGTCTGTTCCCCTCCTCCCTGTGCGCTGCTCGTCCCTCCCTGGCTCTCCCTTCCACAGCCTGTCTCCTTTCCCCAGTTCATTTTCTTTCTTCTTGCTTCCCTCAGTCCTGAGGAGCTCTGGGTTTCTGTTGCATCAAGTATTTTGGTGTTTCTTTTCCTTTTTAAATCTGATTTTTTCTTTTTAGTTATACATGACAGTATAATATATTTTGACATATTGTACACACATAAAATATAACTTCCCATTCTTTTTAAAAATATTTATTTTTTAGTTATAGGTGGACACAATATCTTTGTTTTAAATTTATGTGGTGCTGAGGATCGAACCCAGTGCCTCACGCATGCCAGGTGAGCACTCTGCCACTGAGCCCCAGCCCCAGCCCCTACTTCCCATTCTTGTGGATGTACATGATGTGGAGTCACACTGGTCGAGTATTCATATATGAACATGGGGAAGTGATGTCCATTCATTCTACTGTCTTTCCTATTCCCATCCTTCCTCCCTTCCTTCCCTCCCCCCAATCCAGTGAACCTCTACTCCTCCCTCCTCCTCCCTTTGCCTGTTGTGAGTCAGCATCCACATATCAGAGAGAACATTCGGCCTTTCATATTTTGAGATTGCCTTATTTATTTTACTTAACATGATAGCCTACCCATTTACCGGTAAATGCCATCATTTCATTCTTTATGGCTGAGTAATAGTCCATTGTGTATATATATATACCACATTTTCTTTATCCATTCATTTGTTGAAGGGCACCCAAGTTGGTTTCATAGCTTAGCTATTGTGAATTGAGCTGCTATAAACACTGATGTAGCTGCTTCACTATAGTACGCTGATTTTAAGTCTTCTGTGTGTATACCGAGGAGAGGGATAATTGGGCCCATGGTGGTTCCATTCCAAGTTTTCTGAGGAATCTCCATACTGCTTTCCAGAGTGGTTGCACCAATGTGTCGTCCCACAAGTATTTTGTATTTGAAACTGTCATTAGGAGCCACTGAACAAATCCTAAGCAGAAGAAATAGCTTTAACATACAACACAACAGCATATCACTTCTTTAGTTTAGCTATCATCAAAAACAATTGTGCAAAATGCATCAAATTTCAGGATCTATTCCAAAGAATCCCTTGGAGGTTTTCAACAGACTTACTTGCTGAAGGAGTAACTCTATGAGTTGACTCCAATGTGTCCACACATTGAAACCAATTCCTTGACTATAGGAGTGAAGCAACCAATTCGTTTTAAATCTTTCTCCTTCCCTGCCTTCCTTCCCTCCCCACTTCTTTCCTCCTTTGGCCTCTTTTTATGATACAGACTGAGATTTGCTTTACCTCATCTTTTCATGTTTATTCTTCTTAAAACATACATCTGACGAGGTCAGTTTGTCCAGTATTTAGATTATAGGTTGCATTACCTCTTAAAATTGGAAACTGCAGAAAGAAACGAACTGGGGCTGGGGATGTGGCTCAAGCGGTAGCGCGCTCGCCTGGCGTGCGTGCGGCCCGGGTTCGATCCTCAGCACCACATACAAACAAAGATGTTGTGTCCGCCAAAAACTAAAAATAAATAAATAAATATTTAAAATCTCTCTCTCTCTCTCTCTCTCTCTCTCTCTCTCTCTTAAAAAAAAAAAGAAGAAAGAAACGAACTGCCAACGCTTCAGTTAACAGACTCTCAGACAAACGCAAAGGCTCATCAATCCACCTTCCAGCAACAGCCACTGCCTAGAGAAACTTCTAGACTCTGATTCCTTCAGAGGGTGGAAAGCATACAACCAATAAATCAGAAAAACTGTTACTGTCACTAGTATTGGTGTGACTTATTGGCAGAATGCAAATGTCATATTCCTGTAGTTTTCCAAACCACTTTTGAACTGACAAAATGATATTTTATTTTTGCAGGCTAAGAAATTTAAATAATAAGTGGCCTTTAAATATAGTACACAATGACTAGGCTCTGATCACTAAGAGGGTAAGCGTTTTTTTTTTTTTTTCCCTGAATGCTAAGTAGTGGTTTCAGAAAGTTTTAAATAGAAAATGCTTTCACCCCAGTTGGTAATATCCATGGCAGCAGCAATAGCATCTCTCTTGCCCTAAGTTCAAGTTCTTCTCAATAACGGGCCTTAAATCCAAGGCGAACCTCGGCAACTAGTCACAAAAATGAAAAGGGCTGGGGATATAGCTCAGTGGTCGAGTGCCCCCAACTTACATTTTATATATATATATACATACATCCATACATACACTTAAAGGTGCCTTGTTTGTTTGAGAGTGGGAGAGATCGGAATGGGACAGTGAGATCCCTGATGACCCTTTTCCCCACCTGTCTAAATTTATTTGGAACAAATTGTCCATTTTCTCTTTTAGGATGTGGGTATTGGGTGTTGGAACCTGGGGGTGGAAAAACAGACAAAGGAAAGGAACACTATTTATAGTAGCGAGTCTTCATCCAGAAAACCTTCAGTTAGACCTCTTTAGTTTACCACCAGTTCAGCGCTTAGAAAACCACTGATTCAGTATTAGTCACCAATGTAGGGTCTGGCTGTCACACCACTGAGCAGAAGAATAGCTTTAACATGCAACGCAACAGCTTACCGCTTCTTTTGTTTAGTCATCATCAAAAACAACTGTGCAAGTCTGAGGAAGAGGAATGAAGTTAACTGAGTAGGTCAGAAGCCAGTTTCTTTTGCTACTGGTTTTAACTGTTTTCAAGTTGTTTACCCTTCTAAGAAGTTAAAAGAGCAAATAGTAATTTGAAACCCTAACCCACACAGTATAAGCAGTCCCAAACAAACCCAATGAATCAACAATATTGGTGTGTGTGTGTGTCTCCCTCTCTCCCTGGAGGAAGGTGAGGGCCTATGGAGGCAGGCGAAAGGACCTGTTGTGATTTTGCAACTTGGAAGTCCTTTTTGTGCCCTTGGGAATTGAGTGTGTACTTAGATCAGTGGAAAAGCTCCTGACAATTTGGTTGCACAAAGTTTCTATTTTTATTAAGCAGGTAAATACTTCAGGTATAATAGCAAAAAGTGAGGCCAGCCCATAATAATCAGAGTTGTTTTTTTTTTTTCTTTTTTTCTGGTGCTGGGGATTGAACCCCGGGCCTTGTGCTTGCTGAGCAGCAATGAGAATCATAATATTTTTCAAGCAGATTTATAGAAATAATGAAAATGGACCATTTTTGGAGAAAGTAAAAGGGGTAAGCTGTTTGCTGGAAATACTGTTTGTCAAGTTACGACTGGCCTTGGACATGAAGAGAATCCCTATTAAACACGGTGTTGCAATTAGCTCATGTTGCACCCTTTCGTGGGCCTGGCCAGACTAAAATTAACAGCGATTCCATGGAGGCTAAACCTAGGACTCCTTTCATCTTCACTCCTAACTTTCTGACCTCCTGCTGACAAAAAGAGGGTCCTGCATTTCATGTGAGAGGTTTGGTATTAAAAACTTGACTCTTCAAATTTTAACCTGGATGAAAAAATAATTCCCTCATATTTCTAGATCCCTTTTAGGTAGTGCTTTTGCACATATGATCAACTTTGGCCTGTTAGAAATTAAATTCACGTTCAGTAATAAAGTAGCCTAAAATTTCTGTACAAAATATTAGATTGGTGCTGATTTCTCAGGACTAAGCTAGAAAAAAAGAGCAAACAGTTTTACATTTAAATTTTTCGAAGTGTAGCTGGTTTTCTAAACAATCTCCTAGGTTCCTACTCACTGCACCCAGCTGTTGAAGACAAGAGGTAAACAAATTTCTGAATTTTGGTTTTGAATATGCCAGGCTTCCTGTGAGATGCCGGATAGTGTCACTGAAGGGTAAATGGCATCTGTTACATGGCTGGGGAGAACAGGGGCTGCAGGGGGAACCACGGAAACACGGGACATTTCACTGACACTGTAAATGGAATTATTTTTATGCTGGAAATAGCTCCTTTCCTCTGACACACACACACACACACACACACACACACACACACACACTGCAGTTTCTCTTCCCGGGACAATTGAAAACTCTGTTGTCATAGATCATTATTTACCCCAAATTAGGGGTCACAAAGGCCCATTCTGTTTGTAATTTTGAAAAGAGTCTGAGGAAAGAAAAGCAGAGAAAATTCTAAGTGCTCACACACACATCTTCCTTCCCACCCCCACGCTCTCCATCCTGAGGATTTGCACGTACCTTCCAGCTCCACATTCTTTCTTTTGCAAGTGTGCAGTCTTCACGGTTTGTCTCAGTAAGGAGACTGATTTCCAAAGGTGGCTACTTGCCCGCTGGGCATAATCAGGCTCACCTTATCTCTGGTTGGAGGGGAAGGCAGAGAAATGAATTCTCCTGCAGCTGCTCCCCTCCACTGACCACGATTGCGAAGCAGGGGGGGCCTGTGATCCCACACTCGTGGTACCGAGGCCACAGAGGTCACCCGACGTCCTAGGCCCTTCGTTTTGTGTGGAGGATGGGTAGAGAGAAATCAGAGGGGCTGAATAAGGAGGCCTGGAGGGAAAAGGGACCATGGAGAGGGAGCTCCTGACTCTTCCCCATTTTATTAGCATCCAAGTTTTTAATAAAAGTCACCCATTATTCTACATTTAACCAAACCTTTGGAGAAAACCAATAAATGCTCTGTGTGTGTGTGTGTGTGTGTATGTGTGTGTGTGTGTGGCACAACAAGCCAATTTCTTCTGCATTAGGCTGCAAAATCGATGCTGCAATAAAGGATTGACCTGCCAGAATTGTTTTCAAGTTCCAGAAAGCCATTCCTCCAGATTCTAAGGCTCCTCTGGGTGGTCCTGACACACCCACACACCCCGGTCCTCACGTGCCTCTAGTTATAATCCACACTCTGGGTAACTAGTGATTACTTTCTTTTCCTTCTAGAATATAACAGTGCTTACTTAGGCTGACTTCCAGATCAAAATGAAGGTCATCGGTTAGACAGCAAAATCTTCTAACCAAGAGTTCTCCCCAGGGAACCTAGAAGGTTCTGAATCATTCTGCCACTTCCACTGTCCAAATACATCCTAGTGCCACTAGGTAAAAAGGAGTGAAGCTTTCTACGCTGAATGACTGGTGGAAGGCGGGAATGTGGATTGAAAGTCTATGAAGAGATAATATTGTGCAATATTGTAAGATTTGATTTTTGAAAGGTTTAGTTTGGCAGCATGGATAGGACCATTGTGACAGATCAAGTTGCTATAGCAGGATGGTAAAATGAACCCCTTTGGCCATACACACACACACACACACACACACACACACACACACACAGAAACCCACATCTGTATAGAATCAAGACTTCCTATTGTTGAGAGCCACAGCCAGTCGGAATGGCCCCTGGCATTTTGCTAGAAGTAATGGTTGAGAGCCATTAAGATGATGCTGGATTGATTAAATTGTATATTAGACCTTTACTGTCGGTATAGGGTGGCTCTTGCTGCCTTGGGTGCCCGCTACTTTGGAGTTCCCGTTGAGTTCTCCCGTTGAGTTCTCGCGGGGTTCCAAGAGTGAATACCGGTGGTGTTCCGGGAGAGTTCCCAGGGGGAGTTCCGGTTGGTGTGTGGGGTGTTCATAGAGAAGCCGCGTGGGTGGCGTTTGGGAGAGTTTCCCGGGGAGTGTGCTGGAGTGTGCTGTGGGAGTTCGGAAATAAAGTTTGTTCCTGCTTGAGTGGCTCCTGATTTGTGCCCAGCCAGACTGCGGCATCCTATCTGGAGTCAAAGCTTCCATAATCAACCACAGAGTATGTTCTCCAGCCAGGCGCGGTGATACATGCCTGTAATTCCAGCAGCTCCGGAGGCTGATGCAGGAGGATGGAGAGTCCAAAGCCAGCCTCAGAAAAAGCCAGGTGCTAAGCAACTCGGTGAGATTCTGTCTCTAAATAAAATACAAAATAGGGCTGGGAATGTGGCTCAGTGGTCAAGTGTCCCTGATTTCATTCCCTGGGAACTCCCTCCCCAAAACAAAACAAAAAAACGAGAGTATGTTCTTCATATTGCCACCTCTCTCCCCCATACCATTTATTCCTATGATTTGTGTCGACTTTCTCTCCAATAAACCAAAAAGTATAAGGGTGAGGCTGTCTTCTTCATCTTCAGATCTCAGCATCCAGGACTCTAAAAGTGGCTGAGAGTCAGTGTGTCTGACATCCAATCCTGAGATCCTCATCACTAGCAAAGGACACCAATGGACCCCGGAGTCAGTCTGGGCCCGAGGCCCCAGCAGTGTGAATCATTACTGAAAGCATGGAGTGCCTTTGACATGCCGGCCACAAAAGTGTTCCAAATGGTTCTTGCCCTCCATGAGCTTTTATGGTCCTGAAGGGACCAAAGATTCAAGCTCTTTGAAGCAGCAGGCAAGTGGTGAAGACAACAGCCAGGCGTGATCACATTTCATGGTGAAGGAAGCAGCATCGACCTGCACAGGCCGGTTGAGTGAAGCGTTTCATAAGAGGAGCTGATGCCTGACCCAAAGCAGTGCAGCCAGCGTCGCGCTGAAGACCAGCCTCAGCCTGACACGGTTTGGGAAGTGAGTTTCCTCTCCTGAAACTTGATAAAAGTGGAGAAGCACTTCAGAACCAAAGCATGTTGCTCGAACCCTCCACTTTTTTTTAGGGCTACATAAGAGTTGGGGACCTGATTTTTAAACCAGGTGAGTCTACATATGCCCTTGATAAGACAGCTGTCCAGCTGTCACCCCTTGGGCTAAGCAGACTCCATAAGCCAAGTTTACAAATTCCAAATCCTGATGAAAAGACAGCAGCCTCAGAATTAGTCATGAATGCAGTTTTTGCTTATTAACTGGGAGATCGC